AAGAAACCTTTTCTTAGTTCCAAAATGACCGGAGCACTGCACAGTGCATGTGTACTTACTAACATCACTGGATTGCGCACTGAAAGATGGTTAGGATAGCAAACTTGATGCTAGCTGAATGTAACCCCAATAAAAACATCTGAGCATGAAGACTGAAAGTTCTCATCATATAATAAGGAAGACATCAATCAAAATTAACAAGAAGGACCCACAAAATAGAAAATCCTGGGGAAAAGAATTAAAAAGATTTAAAAACTCATATAATTACATAGGCAGGAAAAAAAAAACAAATTAACGACAAGAAAACAGGAATTAGCATGATTCCTCTAGAGGAGATTCCAAGAGAGTCTGTTCCTCTGTAACAGTAAATGGCAGGAAATACAGAAGCAATCTTAGTTTGATGTAATAAATAAAGAAAATATTCCAAGAATTTTATGCCTACACTTGAGTCTCTGTGTGTGAGGGCTGCAGAGAGATATTCCCAAAGATGCCAAGGCAAAGAAAATAAACCACTCTGATAACCTTCTTGAAAAAAAAATTAAAAAGCTTGCAAGAAGATATAGGTTTCTCTTCTATATAGAGGTTAAAAAATAAGAACTCAAAAATGGGGAAGTTTTGATCAAAAATGATATGCACCTGCCCTGTAGGACCATCAGTAACACAAGAGCCTATGGTCACAGAAGTCCTGGAGTGTCCTCACCTCGGCAAAGAAAGCCTGATTTAGAGGGTGTGGTAATCAGTACACAAACAGGGAGGAGTGGGTCCCAGCATGATGCAACCTCACAAGGGTGAAACCAAATGCTGAACTGGAGGTTTTAAATCTCTTACCGTGGGACTGGGCTCAAAATATTTATCTGAGCAGAAAATTTTAGGAAGCATTTATAACCATATTCTAAAGTCCAACTAAATATAAATGTATCTTTGTTTAAAACCAAATACTCACATCTGCCTAGAACTTTGACTGCAAAAAATACCAAAGGGATAATGTGACTTTTTGGATAGCAGAACCTAGGTATAGCTTTTTTTCTTCCTTCAACTTTGTACATGATCCAAGTATTACTTGATGAACTTGGGTTACTTTTCTAAAGAAAAATAAACTCCTTTAATATGAAATCATCAAAGTGGATCTTGCTGTCCCTAACAGTGGTGACAGGAAGGTGGCCCAGAACTTTCTAAATCCAGGGGCAGCGCTTCTAACCCCTACAGGACACATGAAAACAGTGGTCGGGGTCAGCTCCAAACACCCACCGGCCGTGAACTCTGTGACTGACACAGGAGACAACAGGACCAACTGCACTCTCCCCACCAGCCCACCCTCCACCACTCATGACACTCCAGCAGTCAGGGCTGGTGACCCCAGGAAGCTACTGCCACAGACGCGGGAGAAGAGGCAGCTCCCCCTGCGGCTCGGCAGGCAGCAGAGTGTACACATCAGAGAACGTCA